GCGCAGACCCCCTCTTGCAATACATGGATGACTACCAGAGCTTTGTGCTTCTTTTTTTTTGTGGTAGGGGTGATGGGGTGGTAGTGGCCTAAACCATACATCAAAAAAAATACATCCTAGAAAAGAGCTAAAATCTGGATTTCTGAAGGCGGCGCGGAAATCTAGAATTCTAAGCGCCCTTATCCTAGAGACTTCAAGCACAGGAAATACGCGATCCGCGGGCCGCGGGCCGCGGGCCGCAGCACGCCAAGCGCTATAATGACACTCTTGGAACATTTCAAACACCGTAAAGTACAGCATTTGCTGATCTAGGAGCGTTTCAAAGACTGCAAGTGACAGCATTTAAAAAGGACCGGGGACTTCCAGACCACGGGACCGGAGGACCAGAGGACCACAGGACCAGGGGACCACAGGACCAGAGGACCATGGGACCGGAGCCACACCAGGACCGAGCCACACCATGGCTGGACGAAGCCACATTGGAATGTTTCAAATGTTGCAAATTACACAATTTGCTGGTCGTGGAACATGTCCAATACTGTAGATTGCAACATCGGCTGGTCTTGGAACGCTGACAATTCCATTTTGGAACATGGGAAATGCTGCAAGGCACAGCATTTCCTGATCTTGGAACGCTTGAAATGATGTAAATTACAGCATTTGCTTGTCTTGGAACGGTTCAACTGCTGCAAACTACAGCATTTCCCTGCTTGAGAGATTCTCGGGCACTGGGCACTGCAAATAACAGCAGGGGCCTTCAACCTCTGGACCACGGGACCGGAGGACCACGGGACCAGAGAACCACAGGACGAGGGGACCAGAGCCAGAAAGCCAAGAAGCCAAGAAGCTCACAATAAAAATGTCACAAAAAAAAACACAAAAAATCACACAATTCCCATGTGATTTCGCCACCAGCAACCCGCTTAAGAACATTACACAGTGGTCTTGACCACTTGGGAACCGTCCCCGAGTGGTTTGGAGTCTTCCCCTAGTGGTCTTGACCACTCGGGAACTATGACCGGGTGGCCTTGACCACTTCGGAACTGTCCCGGGGTTTAGCCACCAGCCTTCCTTTACGGAGATTACATGCGGGATTTCGCCACCAACCCCTTTAGGAACGTTACTCAAGAATTGAGGCGAAAGCCGCCCCTTGAAACCAGCAGTTTTGAGAAAACTGCGGAGAAGATCTCGCCATGCGCCTGCTTTTGGACAGATTTAGCCACCAGAGCCTTCACCAGAGCCACCACACGCCCTTGCTTGAGAAACTTGCGCAAGGGACTTAGACACGAGCCCGTCCTTTAAAAAATCATTACAAACAGATTTAGCCAATCGCCCCCTTTAAGACAGGTAGGCAAGTGATTTGGATGGATTCAGCCAGCAATCCCTTTGAAGAACATACAAAGGAAATTTGGAAATCAGCCCCATTGGAAAGACATTGACGCCGGGAGTTAGCCACCAGCTTTGCTTGAAGCAAAGCAATCTAAGCAAAGAGTTTAGCCACCAACCCTCGTTCAAGAAAGTTAGTCAAAGTTGAGTCAAAGGGCTTCGCCACCGGCCGCCGTTGCAGATATTTCACGCAAGGCATGTTACATGTTGACAGCAGACGACCTTCAAAGAAAACAATGCGGGCAATTTGCCGACCAACCGCGTTTAAGACAAGTTATGCAAGGGCTTCAGCCACCAGGTCCAGGTCCCCATTAAAAGGATTAGAAAAACATGGCCATCAGCGTGAGAAAATCACGTGCAGACTGTGCCAGCAGCGCCCTTCACAAAATAGTGCAAGCGATTCAACCACCCGCTTTCCGTTTAAAAAGTAACCAGCCACCTTGCTTGAGTCAGGCAGTGAATTTCGCCACCAACCCCATTTGAGAATAGCACGCAATGGATCTGGCCACCACCTACGGGATTTAGCCACCAGCCCCTTTTGAAGAAAATCACGCAAGGGTTTCATCCATCAGCCCCCTTTCAAGAAAGCAAGGCATCGGATTCCAGCACCCCTTTAAAATCATTGGGATTTAGCAATCAAGCCCCTTCAAGGAGAATGTGCACGGGTTTTAGCTACCAGAGTTTCAACAGAATTCTGCACCGTCAGCCCCTTTATACCAAAATTGCGCAAGGGATTTAACCGCCAAAGTCCTTCTAGAAGTTTCTGCAAGCAATTTAGCCCCCGGCATCCCTGCAAAAAGGTGAGGCAAGGGATTTGAAGTGCGAGACCCGTTTAAGAAACTTGCACCGGTGATTTCGCCACCAGCCCGACTTTGAAGAACAAAAAACAAACCAGCCACTAGCTCCTCTTTAAGAAAATTACGTAACGGATTCGGACTGCAGCCCCCTGTTTAAGAAATTTACGAAAGGGATTTAGCCACCAGCCCCGCTCTAAAAGTGAGGCAAAAGATTCACAGCTCTGAGAAGTTCACACGAGGGATTTCGCTACCAGCCCGTCCCTCAAGCTAGGCAAGGGATGTTGCCACTAAGCCCTGCATTACGCAAATGACGCAGAGGACTTAGCCATTTAGCCACCAAGTTGTGTTCAAGAAAAACGCCAGTGTCTTAGCTACCTGTCTTATTGGAAAAAATTAAGAAAGGCATTTAGCGACCAGACCTGTTCAAGAAACTTACGCAAGGGGTTTGGCCACCAACTCCTTCACGAAAACCAATGCTTCTTGAAACCTTCTCCTTGAGACAAGTGAGGCTATTCTGGTGAGTCCAAGCTAGCATGCGTGTCTGCATTCAATCTTAATGACTGCGTACGTCATTTTTGGATTTGACTGTTGGGTTGCAGAGCTGGGCTCATGTCAAAATAAATGTGACAACACGTGCTGAACGGCACCTGGAAGAGATTGATAGCAAGCACCAGGCAATAGGGGAAAATGACTAAGTTGGCTCAGTATAGGGATGTCTCCAAGCTTGAAAGAAACGGAGACAGCTGGGTCGTTTGAATCACTACCACGCAATTCATCAAAGCCCTGGTGGGTGCAACCTTGTGACGTCAATTGCACCACGAAGTCCACGCAAGGCAGGCAGGATCACAGACGTGATCTGGAACATGTGGGGCAGAGCGCCTGAATCCACACTTTGAGTTCAAGTTTCTCGGCAATCAACATCGCAAATTTGATGAAAACACGGTCCTGCCAGCTTTAGAGTGGCAGCGGCTTGCGTGCAACTCCTGAGGGCGACTACTCCAATGCACGCACAGGACCATGGCCGTGGTATTGTGCAACTGAAGCTAGAGCAGACACGTTACAAAATCAGAACCAGCACGGCCAGAAGCACGCGGCTGTAAGATACCATCACCTGAGGGTTTGCCCAGCAGGCTACACATTGCCGAACTGTCCAGACCCTCCTACTTCAAGTAGTATCCCGGTACCGGAACAGTCACGGGCAGCGGGAGTTAAAAACATCAATTTTGAAGTGACACACTTGAAACACTTGCTGCAGCCAGGGCACCAAGCGACAATTTTGCAATCTGCGTTAAGATACGGAGGCTGAGATCTTCCAAGCTGCGGCGACGTCATGTCTTTTGAAAGCATGGCCGTGTTGAGTACCAAGCCAGTGCAGGTTTGGTGGAGAGCAGAGATCCGCTCCTAGCAAATTCCTGCATGAATGAACGAACCACCAACATGCTGACATGCAGGTCAGTTCCCATACACAAGGCAGCATTCCCAGCGTAATGCAGCAGTGGATTCGTCTCAGGACTGAACCCATCATTCCAGCCAGCATTACCTGACAAGCATCAAGGCGGGATGCTGGGCAGTCTGGACAAGAGGAATGCTGGGAGTATCCTGCATATTTACACGAGTTCAAGCCTCCGAGACACACTTGCTACTGCTGCTTAACTTTGCCCAGATATCTGCCAAAATCTGCTGTTGCCGCCAGAGAACAGGCGTACCCCACTTCGATGCATCCAGCATTTGCAACGTCCTCAGCCATCTTGGGCTACCACGGGGTGTCGCCTTCTGCCAACCGTGGCTTCTGAAACAAAAGATGAACTTGCATAAGCTTCTGGCGCGATGTCCACCATGCTAATCACCTGTTCAGGCTATCCAGATCATTCAAGCATTCCCATGCAAAAAGACTGTAATGCAAGTAGAAACTCATGGGCATGCACATTACCATCGTAACGAAACATCAGCTAAAGCACGTGCGGCTGCATGACACAGGGCCCGCAAGCGTAGCTACTGGACCTTGGCGTGCAACGCGCGCTGTTGGCACACAGCTGGGGATTTGCAATCCATCAAGCCACAACATGACAGCTACAGTAGGCCTTCGCAGCCACCAGGTTGCCATGAAACCGATTCAGTCAAGCAGCATGCCCCCGCAGGAGAAACGATGCCAAAATGCTGAGCTTACAGTATGAAAACGGTGCATGTACGCTAGTTAAATTCCATGCTCAACTTGTTTGACACTGTTTATCCTGGCGACAAATGATGCCTCGGCATCACTGATGCAAAGTCAAAGCATCTCCCCTGTTCCAACCATTTGAGGCGGCAGCTCCGGATGGAACTCCTCCCAGCAGCACGTGTTGCCCATACTTTGCTTGCATTGCACCAGCAGTTATCAGCGGCAGTTCCTGTGCGGAGGGATCCATGCCTTCAACAGGGGCCTGCGCACCTCAGGTCTGAAACAGACATCATGATATCAGCGTAAATGTAATCATCCATGAAGGTCTCATCTCACTTGATGCTGTCACGGGACACCAAATTACAGGACACATGCAAAATCTGTTCAACACTCTAGGCGCCCAGCAGGTTGCAAATGCAACAGATGCGAGATGTTGCGTGGTGCGCGCTGGATCTGGATGCCCCTTTTTGCTTCAGCAATTTGAACTGAGCCGGAAATACATGCACGCTCAGATTGCCCAACAGAATGCTTCCTACTGAAGCTCAACATCCCTGCAAGATACTACCCCGCAGAACCGCATGCAGCAAGCGAGCAAGCAAGCAAGAAAGCAGGCAATCAAGCAAGCAAGCAAGCAACCGCAAGTCCAAGGGAGGGCTGACGTCCCTTGTCGCGGCAGTGATCTTGCGAAAGGAGAGGTTGAGAAAAGGCACCTGGATCGTGAGCATGCTCCACGCAACAAGTCCCAGAGATTTAGGAGCCCAAGCTTTCATTTTGAAAGACAAGAACTTGTCTGAAACTCAACTAAGAACAGCCGACATCTGCCATTTTCCTGCCCATGCCCTCAGGTTTCGACTCCATAGCCGGACTGGTACTCCTTGGATAATTCCTTAAACTCCTCCGTGTCTTCAGACCTGAGGGGAGGAGGCTCTGCAAAACTGAGCCGGCTTACAAAGGATTGCGTCCACTGTTTGCGACACGATTGAGCTACAGTCAGAGTCTTGGTGCTTTGCTAGAGCTGTTCTGCTAGTTTTCCGCAATCACATACCATGACAGTGTGCTGAGCGGCTTTGAAATATTACCAGGGGACTATGCAGAAGTGTATATTATATATATGTATACACATGCATAGCTAGCATATCTATATATATATATACACATATATACGGATGCATTTTTCTTGGTAAGCCTTGCACTCGCTGTAGCTTAATTGAAGACTCCCATGCTGTGGCCACTGGCGTAGTCATCATCTCATAGGCCATACTTCCCATGGACATGCCTGCAAGAGATGCAAGAGATGCAAGCGCTAGCGTGGAATTGGCTAGAGTTAGACTGCTTCTTTTAGAATGGTCCCGACTCTCCGAAAGTCAGTGTTACACTTGTTTGCACCACGGCCTTCGATTCCTTTCCGATATTCCCACCTCAAGCTGGCATCTAGCTGGCACTGCAAACCTAGCACAAACTGATTCGACGTTCGTGGAGAATCCTTATTCATCTGACACACGACTTTGTTGGGATTCGTTTCTTGGCCAGCCACCCCTTCTGTTCCCGTGGACTGCGCGAAGTGGCAACCTTTGAGCAGCACTGGTGGGGACTCTGAGAACGGTACAGAAACCAGCCATGGTCCAAGGTCCAAACATCAATGAACGTTTCCCACAATGCGCCGGAGAACCTGGCGAAAAATGTCCAGCCTCAGCAAAGAGCAAAGCTTTTGCTTCCCTCAATGCCCTAGTCAAGCCGTAGTCACCCGAGCCACGCTTGAGGCCCCCACCATCAATCTCGGTGTCTCTGGCATCCACCACTGGCGGGACCTTCGAGTACCTAGGTCTCCCAAGATAAAAGACCAGTCCAAGTGCCAAAGGCAGCCGAAGGCATGTGAGGCGTCTGGTTTTGATGATGGTTTTGCAGAACACAACCTTGCATGCACTTGCTACACTGTTTTCTGCTTTGCCGCAAATCCGGGAACTCAAACCAAGGTCCTTGCCTTTTGTAAATATTTGAGACCCTTGCACACAGACTCAGCGAACACTGTGAGGAGCACAATCTCTCCAACACACATCTTGCTCCTGAACATGCTGGACGATGTCAGGAACAGGTCTAAATGCCTGAAACATGCATAAGCCTCCTAGCAGCTCCTCGGGAGCAGTGGATCAATTTCTCTTTGCATGCCGAATTCCCGTTGCCCGGACATGCTGCCAGGCATTTCCTATGGGTCTTGGTGGCAGTGCACGCAGACCTCAAAAATCTGCCCAAAACTTGCTTGTTTGCCTGCGCGCATCTGGCGCAGCTTCACACATGGCAGCAAGCAATAAAACTTCAAGAAATTCCTGCTTTGAACCAGCACCTGTGAAGACAAAAGGCTCTGCCTGGTCTTCCTACGGAAGGAAAACCCTCTTAGCTAAGAACCCCGAGGATCGTTCTGACGCCGCTTCAGGTCCGCAACTGAAGCCAACGCTTGAGACGGAGACGGGCTGACTCAGCTCCGGAGGATCGTTTACCTCCACAGTCCAGGTGCCTGCTGCCCTGGAAACAGAGCCATCTTTGCCTACAAGCTCGAAATCGCTTGGCATCAAGTCAAAGACAAGGTCACTCCACCTGTCCTCAAACGACTGCGAAGGCGCAAACTCCACTTTCTGGAAGTTCACTAACTTCTTCACAAGGCCCGAAGCCTGGTCGGCAGGAGGCCGCAGAAAGAGGAGCACAGACGTGGAGCTCGATCGCATTGACGAAGCTTGTGTGTACAATAATGTGATGCGCACACTAACTTGGCACTTGCTCTCGTCGCGGTGACCCAGCCACTCATAGCTGTAAAGATCATACGAGAGGCCGTGGCCGAAGGGGTAAACAATCCAGCTGTCTTCCACAAAGCGGTAGCCTCTTCCAGGATATCCATCAGCCCGAGATCGAAAGCTGTAGTCGTGCATAGGCACCTGCGCGGTGTACTCGCCTCCTGGGCAGTGTCAACAGGCCAGCAATTTAGAGCCTGTTCCGCCTGACCTGGTTTCTTCACTGTTATTTGTCAAATCTGCTTAAGATGGCAAAGCATGCAGTGTAGCCTCCAAGAATTTATTCTGAAAGTGCTAGGTGGCGGTAAAAAGTCTGGGAAAGGCGTCCACTGGGAGATGCCAGGCCAAAAACAAGCCTCGCATGCCACCAGGAACTCAAATAAATTTCTCTCTGGCAGATCGCCGGCCTTCCAAGAGCCTCCCCTGCAGCTTCTCCAGGGTAGCCTGAGGGCACTGCGGAAGCACACACTTCCTTAAAACAACATGATAAAGAAATTCCCAGCAACCCAGCCAAAGGATGGAGCCAATGCCGCTCATCGTGGCATAAGCTGCCAGATCCAATGGGCCGCCACCGATCACGACAAGGACCACCGGTAGTCCCCAGGATGCCTTTCAACAAGTAAGCTCAACCTTTCAAGATTGTGCAGAACAGAAAAAGCAGCGGTGTCCAACTTGAAGACAAGACTCTGCTGTGGCTATCAGGTCAGCTTGTGAACCAGGCCACGAGATGTTTGGCCTATCGCAGCCTTCTGTCTCCAGGCAGCCTCTGCTTGTGAGCGCTAATAGAACTGTGGTTGTTTGGACTTGCACAAGCCGGCCTGCTTTGCAGAAATCTGACTGCACTGGCCGCAGATCGGGATCTTGCACCTGCAGGAGGCTGTTGGGTGCAGGCCAGCTCAGTCGCTACTATATCCAGATATCACTGCAAATGCCTGTGGGTCATCCGCTGTCAAGCCAGCTACAATGATCACCACCTGTCTAGGAACGCTAGCAGCCATTCAAACTCCGATGAGCGACCATGTTCACATCAATACAGGCTCGCTTTGCACCCAATTTGCACCCAAGCCACATCGGCATCAGGCCTTGCAGGCCTGGGCAAGAGGACTATCTCAGTTTTCACAACCTTCAGGTTCCAACATTGAAGGCTTCGGTTGGCAGTGGGCTGGTGCAACAACGTGCCTTTTTGTCGGCACAAATCACAACTGCAATAAGACACTCTCGCAACAGGAAAATTAACCTGTAGCTCCTGCTGCTCTGAAAAGGGGATGAGTAGGAGATGACACAGTGATACAGGAGACCACGACAACCACGGCCCGTCAAAGAAACGCAGAGTATAACTGTGGTATATCCTATAAGATATGTTTATAGATTATAGTATAGTATTAGTGGAAGAATGCAATGCCCACGGAGGGACAGCAGGGATCTGGCCACACGCCTGAAATATTGCCTCCAACGTACAAGTCTAGTTCTCTACCAGCGCAAGCATGCAGACCTGCGACAACCCTGAACAAACCACAACAAAAAAAGCAAAATGTCAAAGCCAAGAAAACCCTCTCAAATGCCACGTTCCCCTCTTGACACATATGCAAGGGACGTCACATCTGCCGCTGCAGAACATAATTGCACCTCCAGGCAGTTGGCTTTGTTCATGTTTCACGATGATTTTCAAGACTTCGGTGGCCCTGCGCAAGCCTGTCTCAACATTCCAAGCGATGCCACAAAACACTCTGAGCAAGCGAGGTACTGGTGAACTGTCTGAAGGCTGAAGCTCTAAGCATGTGGGAGCATCACCTCCGGGCCCGGTGCGTCGACGTGGTGCCCAAACTTCCTTGGGGCTTGCCAAACAGGGCCCGGTCAGCAACCCAATCTTCAGAGTCGAGTCTCTTGAGGCCAGCCAGAGGTGTCACAACGGGGACAGGCCAAGCCTCTGCTCAACAATTGGCCCATCTTCATGAGATTCATGAGCTGCAACAGCACATGGACGAACGTGCCTCATAGTTGCCAAGCATGCTTCGGGTGCCATTTCGCAATGGGCCATATACGGCCACACGCCAATCTGCGGACAGCGGAAGCCTTGGATCAAGTCGAAGACGTGAACGTGCGTAAACGTCCTCTCAGTGGATTGTGCAGGCCAGGGCACGTGGAGTCCTCGTTCTTCAGCAGCACGGCGCCCTGCAGGGCAGCCTCCAGCCTCGTCTTTGTTCTAGGCATGGTGCCAAGATGTGCCAAGCAAGTCGTGACTGAAGTCAGAACAAGTGGCGCAAGCTGCTGATGGCCAGCTGAAGCCTGCAGGCACAAGTGAGGTCAGGCGCCTGTTCTTAACATGTACACAAGTTGCCTTTCTTGCACAGCCTTCTCCCAGCTGTCAGGAATGTCCGTGGGCTTTGGATCAAACCTTGCCGCATCACACCCGCGGCATGCACAAACAATCACAAACGACAAGTATAACTGCAAGCACATTCAAGACAACAAACCTACATGCGAAAGGAGTCGGCATGTGTGTATTGTCCTACGAAACAATTGCACACGCTGCGCTACCCAAAGCGTACCCACCCACACAATCCCTTTGACCAACATTCGCATGAGCAGGCAGCTTGTTCTCCTTGACTGCTTTGGAGTATAAATTGCTATAGATGGCTAAGCCCCATCAAAAAACCGAGGACAATCATCCCAGCTGCTTTGCAAAAACTGGTTTGAGCCATTCCTGGAGCGTATAGGAGGCCTGGGGAGGCCTGCAGGACACACCGGGCTTACCCTCCGAGGCCATCAAGCGATAGCACTGTTGTTACCTTGCTTGCCACCAAGCTACTCACCCAGAGCGAATCGAACTCGCAGCGCATTCTTGACTGCCTCTGTCAGTTGAGAGTCCATCTCGGCCGTGGCATATTTCCGGAAGAAACCTGTCCCCAGTCCACACTCACAAGTCGGTGTATCAGGGAGCCTCTGGAACAATGCCTGGGCTGCATGCCACGTCTGTGCCAGCCGCCAGTGCTGCGGCAATGTTCTCGGCTGGTGTGTGGCGATAGTGCTGCAGGGAGTACATGTCCTTGCAAAGCTATCAACCGCAGGTGCAAAACACAAAAAGCGTGGTTGCAACTCAAAGCATGCAACGTAGCAGGGCCAAGCGTGTCTCCTCAAAACACAAACTCACAACAACGTGAAAGCTCGTATTGCTGTGTTGCACCCGTGCCGCCGCAATGGAATCACAATCTGTCACGACCATGCCACCTAGGCTGAAGCTGCCCGACCAAACACTCCAATCTACATCACTCCATTTAAGGGCGTAAGAGAGAGAGAGAGAGAGAGAGAGAGCAAGAGCAAGAGGAAGAGCATGCAATCGGCTGGCAGCAGACGACGCCACGCACCCACTGCAAAACCGCTCCAAGTAAGTTAGTCGACAGTCCGAGGCAGCAGGCCATGGGTCATCTAAGCCAGCGCTGTTTGTGGTGATGTGACCCTCAACTGTTTGAGGCTCTTTTTGGTCCGTACCTCTCAATCTGAGGCATGGTGGCGACGGCCCAACAGTAAAACTTTGGCGATCCGTTATCCATCAACATACAGTGAGGGTTCCATGATGCACCTCATCTGAAGGCCAAACAGCCGTTGTCTCATATTTCCCCAGCAAAAACAAAATTGCTCTTGGGCAATATGCTCATTTGCCCGACCAGAATTTCTGGTTTGCACATGATTCATAGAACTTTCTTGCGCATGGAGGCTGAAAACCTGTGGCCAAAGCAGTTTTCGCATACAGCCTCATGCCTCTTAGTTGTGGAGCCATCATCAAGATGACCTGCTCCATGGAATCTAGTGGGGGCTCCGTAGTGGGGGCCCCCAAGGGATATAAAACGAAATGAAATCGTTTGCCCCGTTCAGGGTTGCTTCCAGAGCTTCTGCCCAGGCACGGAATCCCCATTCTTCGCGAAGCTTGTCCCGAAGCAAGTCGCTGCTTGCACAGGAGGGCACCCCGTTCACCTGCTCTGAGAATCCAACGCATGTGTTCAGACAAATCAAATCGATGTTCAAGAATTCGGCCTGGTTGTATGCACACATGGCGCCTAGAGCTCCAGCGCGCGCACAAGCCTCAGGTAATGAGGCGTGCGGGCATTCTGCTTAGGTCGGATGCAAACAAAAACGTAAAAACATGTCTCCACCCACACCTCTGTAAACACGGATATGCCTTGAAGGCTGCGCAGTACAACAATCAACGGGCCTGCCTCGAAGGCAGGAGAGTACGACTCCGCCATGTCTTGTGCAGATACCACAGCGTTCCTGAAGCCAAAGAAGCTTCCGGCAATTCGCTGTCAGCAAGTGCTCCAAGTGCAACCTCGACTCTCGTTGTGGCGACTGACATTGGAAGCACCAGGGATGAAGTGTCGCATGTGCTCCGTTGTGTTCAGTTGCGTAGGACCACCCTCAAAAGAGTACGCCGCGAAGTGCTTGCCTTGGAGAAGCTGGAGCTGCTGAATGCTTCGTGCGGAAAATGACTTGGTAGCCCAGTCCAGTTTAGCGACACGAAGCAGCAGCTTGCGGAATAGCGTTGCCCATCGGCTTCTGGATGCCAGATACCTTTGTCTCAGAACACATCATGGTGCGCTGGGACATGAACAGCTGGTTTCGCGAGGCTAAGTGGCATAGTTGGATGCAAACTGGGCCGAGAGGTACGGACATTCTCCTGGAGTCTCCTGTCAGCATCTGCCTATCACATAGCCCAACCACTGACAAACGCTGGCGGCCTGCCCACGCCCCCAGCGGGGGTCGCGGAAAATGTTAACGTTGAACTGCAGGAGCAGTCCCTCCATGCGTCCTGTGCTTCTGACGCTCATCAACACTTCCTCAACACATTTCACCTGATGGCCTTTCCAATCGCCGTACTGCAAGCCATTCTCGCGCACAAATCGAGCTTCTCTTCCGACAGCCTCGCCGACTGCTTTGAAGAGGCTCCTGGTGTCAACGCACAGACGGATGTGTCGCATGGGGCTTGGAAGACTTGAGAAGCAAACTTGATAGCAGCGCAGACGAAAGCTAGATCACATCAGACGAGACGGATAGATTTAGCAATACTGTCCACCGTGCTTGCCAGAATGCTACTCTGAGACTCCTTGAACAGAAGACCAAGCAGGTCCTTGACCTATTCAACTTCGCATGGACCTCTCTTTTGAGCCGATTTCAGCCACCTAACTGTCTGTTTGTTTTCTGCCCTTCAAAGCTCCGGTTGAAGGAAGCCGCCATCGTCACAACTTGAGGAAACGAGGTTGGTACAGGAGTGCTTCCTGCAGCCATTGGCAGAAGTGGCGACATGTGGGACAAGACATTCTATTGCATGTCATGTCCATGTAGTCCCTCACTGGTTCTAGACCAGAACTCATGCAAATATGCCCTTTTACATCTTTCAGCTGCTTGCCTCGCAGGAGCAAGCCATGGGCAGCTTCTTTGATATAGTTGTAGCCCCCAAGGCCGAGCCTCTCCTTGGCTCTAACTGTCTCGAGCCACTTCAGACCTGACCGATCAGCCTCTTAGGTCAAAGTGTACTGAGATTGGGCAAACAAGTGTCAACCGCGGGAACACCACCGAAGAGGTCGTTGCTGAGTTGCAGGATCCTTGGCTGCAGCACAGGACTTTGCGTCAAAGCCAAATGCCAGACCTAGACCTCAGCCCACCAGGCAAGTCTGTCTGCTCTGAGGCGCTTCTCGTCTGCAGTGAGCTCAGCAACCAAAAGCTCCAGGCGGCTCTCGACTGGGCCGGAATCCTTGGAACGTTGGGGGCTTCTGGCAGAAACGGGAAAAGAACAAAAGGGGGGAGGGAAGTCGCTTGCAGTTCAAGTCTCACACCAGGGATGGCTGCAGCGCCTCACTTCGACAGGTGCATCCGTCGGCAGCTCAAAGAAAGGTTCCTGAGAAAGGCTTTTGAAACCACGCAGATTCTGACTGCTTTTTACGTCTCTGCGCTGGCCGCGCCTCGTTTGCAAAGCCTGGGCTCGAACAGCCAGCCAAGATCACAAGGCCCAACCGCAGCATCTTGTGCGCCAGGAAAGAATTCTTCAAAAGATTGATGATGTGTCGTTCGTTGAAGCTCTATTTGCTTTGGGCTTCTGCCAAGCGCCGACTTGTCGTGCTGGAAAGAAAGCGTATGCAGCTGAGCCAGAGAGCCAGGAGGAATGATACACTATTGCAGCTTATGCTTGAACTTTTGATGAATCAAGCGGCTCACTCGACAGAGCAACCACACGACCCTTTAAAGTTAATGTCTGCAACAAGCGTTGAAAGCATCTAACGCTCAAGACAGCCGCGAGCGGCTGAGGCCCTTTCGCAGGTGAGGCAACTGACTTCACCTCCGGCTTGTCTGGCAGCTCCTGGACATTGATCAGCATGGCAGCTCTGAACTGTCGGTGCGCAGAGATGCATGAGATGTCGCACCTTGCGAGCTTGTTCCTTTTTGTTCTCAACTTTGTCCAGCAACTGGCCCTTGCACACCACCAAACTTGCTGAAGGACGATTCGCTCTCTGCCTGACGTGAGTCTCGCATGATACCATCCGAGATCAAAACTTGCGTGCAGAACTGTGAGCACCTTGTCCGGCGGACAGCCAAGAGAATGCCACCGGTGGCAGAAACAGCCAAGACGTGAGTGCCCTCAGTTTTAGCTGATACCAGGCAGCTTGCAATCTGTCATGGGCTCCCTGCTCCAAGCCCTGACGATGCTGAGGCTGCTCGGGGTGCCTAGCACAAGGGGTTTCCACCCGAGACAATCCACGAGAGCTGTTTCAAAGGCCTTCAGGGGCGGCGTCGGGGCAGTCTGAGGTATCGCGCTGACAAATCCCAGCGCCGCCATCTTGAACCGTCTATGTGTCAAATATCAGCTGGTGGCTAGCAATCTTCTTGATTCTGACCCACTCGGGAAATCAATGCAGTTGCGCGTGTTGGCTGACAGTTATCAACAGTTAGGCTAGCCGCGACTATGAATGATCGACAACATCTGGTATATGCAGCAGCATGCCAGTAGGCTCTGGCTGCGAAACTTGTGCCAGAGGGAGGGGCGCGGATCAGCTTCATTCATGCTACTGTAGTCAGTCAGATTGTCGACAGCCAACGGACAAGGTTGTCGAAGTATGTAGAATGCACTCTGCTTTTGATTGGCATCTCAAGCCGCAGCATGTTTCGCCACGCGACCTGGCAGCACACCGTCACACTTCCAATCTGCTCACAAGTGCGAGGCCATGAATACCAGAAACGCAGCTGCAATCATGGCCACCTGCCAGCTTAGGAGAAAAACGATGGAGGTAACCATCCTGGCATGGGAGACCAACTGGTACCAAAGCATGCCCCCAATCAGCCAATGTCTCGTGATTGCACCATTGCAGGTACACAGCCAACCAGACGCGGCTGCCAGCAAGACCGAAGCGATCTTCACTTGCGGTTTGACTGTCTGCTCCTGCCGAAGCATTTTAGAAGCATTCATCGTCCAACTGTATTTGGCTCTGCACCGGCCCTCCGTTTCAAGGCAGTGTCCTGCGGGGGGCGAAGATGGCGGAGGCAAGGGTGGCGCATTCGTTGATGTGGAGCCCTTGTTGACCTGCAGTTGCTTTGCCCTTCCTTCTTCGCTTTGCATGAAGATAAGCTTCAGAAAACGCCCCCAAGATGCCCCGAGCCTGTCCAGCCCAACGCAGCCGTGGCTTCGTCAAAGTCGGGGCTGGGGGGGCAATTGCCTTTGACTTAGACTCGCCCTCGCAGCGCCAGTGACTCAGGAAACTCGGAGCTCTTTGGCTGCGGCTGTTGCTCGGACAGCTGGTTCAGGAGGCACCTGGCTGTCTGGCCAACACGAAATGAGGAGCAAACAAATTGAAGCGTGCGCATCTGCACTTCCGCATGCTTTGCCGGCAATCGCCTCCTCATCCCCAGATAGTACTGGCTCTGGCGCCTGCAAGCTTTCACAACACTGAAGTCACAATTTCACATCACATCATCAAACTCCAGAGCTGCACGGGCGTGTCTCAAAAAATCCTTTCGCTGCTTCTTCCTTAAAGTCTGCTCGCGGAACTATATTGTGTTCCTGGAGAGTGGCTAGTTTATAAAGGATGTTGCAAGTCATCTGCACGCCGCATCTTGTACTTCGTAGCTAACATTGGCTAACAATTCAGCATAGCACGCTGCCAACACAAGTTCCGATGGATCTGCTGGTTGCAGCAAGTAAGGATTAAGCAAGGATTCCAACATCAGCGACACTGAAGCACAAGCACCTCCTCTGTGCGGAGATTTTGCTCCTTGAACAGATGGCGAGCATCTCACGGATCCGTTAGCAAAAGCTGAGACAACGCGCCGTGCAACGACTGTCTGAAATGGACAGGTCTAAGAGCTTGCATGCATGCAACGCCCCAAGTCTCTTTCGACGCCGGGAGCACCTCGCTCGCTCGTCGCAGTTGCGGATCCGCCTTCACAGCAAGTTGAGACTATCATGCTCTAAAATCGTAGGCAAATTTCGGCAGCCGATCCAGATAATCCTTCTGTGGCATATGATGAACCTCAAAAAACGCCCGCCTGCCGCTGTTCGGCCTGGCAATATAGCTGCAAAGGCAGGCAAGGGGCGTGCTTTGAAGCATGGGTAACAGTGCAACATGGCGCGAACATGAAGCATATGAAGCCTACCCATAGTATCACTCTGCATTGCTGCCAAGCACGACAGCCTGCGCGGCTTCTGCTGCCTAAGTTGCAGCGCACAACTGAAGGCCTTGAGCATGATTGCAAGGAGTGTGCCTTGCTGAGATTCCCACACGAGCCATTCGCGAAGTTCGCGCCTTGTTCTCCTGAGCTGCCTTGCAGAGCATAGGATTTCTCCTAAAATCAAAACTTGGAACACTTGGACTGACATTGGCTGCGGCCTCAGCCGCCTCTCGGGCCAGACGTGTGAATTCCTCCTCTTCAGCCTTCTTCCGGGCCTGCAGCTCGTGTGAAACATGCCGCCTCTCAATTCTCTGCTCAGGCCTCCCGATCGTTCTCATTGTCGAACTCATTTTTGTCAATGTCCTACCACTTCAGCATGACAGCTTTGAAACAGGCTATCAGCTTGTTGGATTGCCTCGACGCGGCTAAACGCCTTCCGTCTCTGTTGCATGTGCCTGCTGCCAAACTGTGCCACAACATCAAGATGCCTGCTGGACAAACCTACATGGTGTTCGGGTGCCTCCACAAGTCTCCCTTCGCATAGACCTCGGCCAGAACGCTGCGGAAAAGCTGCTTCACCTGCTGTGGGTCTGGTTGAGTTCATGATTGTAGCTTGGTAAGATCTTGTAAAACAGAACCACTGATAATTTCACATTAAAAGCATTGACCCACTCACAGGCAGATCAAGAAGCATGATCTTGCATGAACTTGCCGTGCTTCTCAGCTTGTCTCAAAAGGCACAGCATGGAGGAGGATGAACTACCCAGCGCCACACTCCCTGTTTTGTTATGGGCAAAGCATGGCAGTTGTCCATGGAAACGCACACTCGACTGCTGCTCAAGCTCATAACTTTTGGTCTGCAAGACGCTTCCCTGCAGAGTGCCAACCCAGAGGCCCTTCTGCAGTTGCTCCACCATACGAGATGCTGAAGCATCCAAAACGTGGGCCAAATAGGCTCGATCACCAGGGCGATTGCAACGACTCTGATCAGGGCATCACTGCATCTCCTCTTGCCGGGTTTTGACTTTCAGCACCTGACTTGACACCTTGCCACGTGCAGCCCAGTGGTCAGACTTCTGCCCTTTGATCTTGAGGAAAGCAACGTTGCAGCACCAAGGATACAATGCTAAATGTCTAAACATCAGACTTTGCAAGGCCTTCTTCAGATCATAAGCAGAGAGCTCGAAGTAGGAGATGTTGCTGTCTTTGGCGTATCTTCAGGGCTGCCCTTGACTTCTACTTGTGTCCTGGTGTGCCCTAGAAAGCATCATGGTCCAGCGTTCCTGCCTTTGCGCCATGCGTCGATGCTCGCCGTCTGACACAGCGGAGCAGGGCAACAACAGGACTTTCAATCGCTCACTCCGAATTACCACGAGCATCGTGCTTTCAATTTACACCTCAAACGAGCTGATGTTGAGGGCAGCAGTCCACCTGAAGTGTCTGCATCTAAACGATTTGCCACCAGGCACACCACGGGTCCTTAGCTCGTGATGTTCATTGCGTTTTGTCGTGGAAAGCCGACGGGCTGTTACCAGTTGCCAGAGGGCGTGAGATGCCGCCGGGTCACTTAGGGTGCTGTCGATGTCCATTCTCAGAGCGCTGTGAAGGTCTTGTGCCTCATCTGCGATCTCACAAGCCCTCTATCTCAGAGCCTGTCTGCACACAGCTCGGACATTCAAGACCCAATATAAAAATTTCTTGCACCCATCTTTAAGCATGACACACGCCAGGACGTTCTGTCACACTACTGTTTGAACGTTCATGGCCCTCAAGTCCAAGAGTTTGCCTCCTTCAGTGACATCTCCGAGCTGCAGTCGAAGACAAGCCTTGGTGTAAACCACATGAGGATGTTGACAGAAGGGCATTAGGACCCTTGCGGCTTCACTACAAGCGACACCAGTAAGACTGTAGGATCCAAGGTGCATGAATGCCATTCTTCGGTTGGACAATGGGCGATACTCGTCAACCTGACAACACTGCCCTCGCTGCACCACATTCTGCTACCTGTCCAGCACCCTTGACCCAAATCAAAAATGCAAACAAATAAATAGGCTTCTCATTCGGAGTCCATTTCAAAACAACCCTGGACAGTCCAGCTTGTGGTAGAACAAGCTGCTGTCATCTGCTTTTATTGTTGTCATGGCAGATTCCATTCTGAACTTCGCCTGAGCACGACGTTCTGTCAGTGCTGCCGGCGCCTCTGACATTTGAATTGGACAACCTTGAGACCTGTAGCACGCCATGCACTGCTGGTCAGTACTTAAGTGCTCATGATGTCCAAACAATCTGCAGGAAACACATTGCAACAAATCCTACACAATTGTAAAAGCTATGCATCCAAACCATTTTCTCCAGCCTCGGGCATGTCATAACCTTGCAGCAGCTCCACGGCGTCCCCTTCAGCATACATCGACCTGTCCATCCTCAGGAACGTTTCCTGAGTGTCAACCCGGTGCAAGAGTCAACTTAGCACAACAACAAGTATTCCTCACTCCAGTCTAAGGAGTCGCCCCTGCACCTGAGAGCTCGAATGCTCTCGCCGCGGAGTCTACGCACAACACTGCGCGATGCTTGGCATCCAAGTGGCTACATGCTGCCCCTTCTCGTGTGCCGCAGCAAAGGTGTCCTCGATCCTTGGACTCAGACTTGGGCAGGACATCTGTCAGCCTCTGACCATTCCTGAGCAACTCGCTCTATGACAGCAGGCTGGGGTGGTGCAGCCGCTTCGCCTCCTGCACCACTGCAGATCCATAGCCGTCTCCAATCACAAGAGTTGCCTCTCTAGCCTGCAGAAGTCACGTTCAGCGTCTTGTAGTAGAGCGGTGCAGAAGCCGTCTCCTGACAAGGGTCTCGCTAAGTCACCGGCAATCAGCTATGCACCGCACAAACCTCCAAGACCGTAGGGCAGTAGTTGTTGACGAAGGCATTGATGAGAGTCGTCTTGCCACATCTGGACCCACCCAAGACTGTGATGCTGAAGAGTTCAAGCTCCTGGGCCAGTCTAGCAAGCAGCAATGCAAATCTAAATAGTGTTGCTAGCTCCGTACCTATAAAGTATACAGGCACAAGCGTCCATCAGCGATCCGCTGACGGCATTGCAACGGCATTGGCATCAAGTTTGCCGCTTGGGATTAGAATCTGCCAGGTCAAGATGGCTGCAACGTTTGTTCGCGTTCCGGCGCGGCTTTAGTTTCTGCATGGTGGGGCTGTTTAATATGGGACAGGGGCTACCAGAGCAGCTCCTGTGAGAGCTACACTTGAGCCGCTGAAAGCCGGTATTCCGAAGCAAATGTGATCATGGTAGCCATTAAACAAGAACAGCAGCTTCGGCGGGCGAAGCCATCAAACGTGCTCATGGCCAATTTTCTTTTCGTCTTGCCAGTGCTTCTATGGCAGCACGAACGTCTTCTCAGGCTCTACTGCAGGACACATGGTTCCTGCCGTATTTGTGTCTGTTTCTTCTTTTGGTAAAACTCCTGGCAAGTCTCAAGGTTTGGTACTAATCACCGCATGCTTTGAGGCACGGCACGTGTTGTCCTTCAAGGAGTCGCTGCTCCAGAGCTGCGGCCTTGCAGGTGCTGACAGTGCTGAAGGCGAAAGATTTGTGACGGCCATTTGAATTCTGAGTGTTGCAACTGCAGGATGATGTGCTCCACCATTTCGCGGAACACTTTGTGCACGCGAAGGAACTGAAGAGCGGACACCTCTCACATTGGCATGTGCGATCAAGCACTGGCCTTGGACCACAGGCATTCCTGTCTATGCCATGGCTAGCAGAATTGAACAGAAACAGAGATAGAAGGCCAATGTAGGAGGACCAAACCAGGCACAGGGTCGGAAGGCTGAAGACAAGTTTTGGTTGTGCTGGCGCCTCGAAGTAAGGAAGCCTCAACATGTCATCAGCGTTGAGGCTGCGGTCAAAGCCATCATTCAGTGGCCATGCATAACACATCTAGGCTCGCAGCTCCTTTATCTCGGCAAACGCGCGCGCTGCTCCGAGGTTGCGCTTCGTCTGATCCTGCAAAACACAATTGCATAAGCATGCCTGCTAGTTCGCCCCCTATGGCACGCAGTCCCCCAGCGGATCTTTGTCGATCCTTGAAATCTGCGAAGCAATACTCGGGTTGAAGCGAATGCTTGCAAGCGAGTCGCTTGTTGGCTACCAAGAAGAGTGTGATGCCCTTCCTTGGCAAGCTCAATCCACAAACATCAAGGACCCACTACCCTCACATCGCTCGAAGAGTCATGGCCGGTTTGTTTTGCAGCCTTCTGGCGCGAACTTTGGCCTCTTTGGCCAAAAGGGTCTGGGGCGCAAACGGGTCCCAGGAAAATCCGCGGCAACTCTATCGGCCATAAGGGCTCGATGGATTTGGCTGCTCACTTGGCTTGGCAGCTGTGGGAATGCCTCAACAACGTCTCCGTCGCTGTTTTGAAAGCATGCATAGCTAACTTGGGGGCTTACCAGTATTTGCATGGAGGGTGGCTGGTCTGCCAAGCGACAGGCCACAACACCCTTCTTAACCTTCGCGTCCAGAATCTTTGTCTTTATCCTTGTGAGGAGGTGTACCGCACTGAAGGGAATCAAGCAAGCGCAGGCAATCTCAACTGAGGCAGGAACCAACATGCACTGGGAGGATCATCCATCGACGAGCCTGCAAAGTGGGCCATATCTACCGCACAAAGAGCTGTGTTGAAAAGCTTAGGAATCAGCTGAGCACTGCCACCAAACAGTTCCCAGCTTTGCGCTTGTTCAGATGGCGGCATGCTCGGCAGCAGTCTTCTTTGCTGCCTTTGAAGCTTCGTAGACACAAAAAAAGGATGGCAACTGGTAGGTTGCATTAACATTAGGCCGGTAGCTACGCGGAATGGTAAGCGCATCGATGCCAACATAGTCATGATCTTCCTTCAACGCATCTGCAACATCGTACAACGAGGCCTAAATGTCACTTAGAACCTGCTTTGCTTGCCTGCGTGTCCCAGTACCTTTCTACCGCAGTACTGTCGACACCACCCACAAGTTGTTTGAAATTGCTGTTTCAACTACTCCTACAGACCTGTTGCCTGGCTTCGCTGCAAACATTTTTTCAACTCCCCAAATCAGTCCTCAAATCGACATGGCAAATCCGGAGATGCGGTGTTCGCTGCACCTGCTTGGAGTAGATCACATCACATCGGCTGGACATCATCATTCCAGCTCAACCGGCAAACGCCTTGAGGTTGAAGAGTGGGAGCCGGCTCGTGCCGTGCACCTCAGCCAGCACCGGGTCAGCATGTTTCAGCAAAACGCTTCTCATCTCCACAGCTCTGCCCTGCACTCCTTGGGGTCGTCAATTCCGACACGTCGAGGAACGGATCAGGCATGAGCTCCTCAACCCACATCCGCATCAGGCTTCATGGACTGCCAGTGCCCGGTTCCTTACATCCTCACGGCATCTTTTCAAAAAATGTCTCCCCTCCACCCTTTGCCCAAAACTTTCACGGCATCCGTTTGAAGACATGACCCGCTGCGCGCCTGAGCCTTCCCTTGCCTGTACATGTTCACCTGACAGGGCTCGGCTTCAAACTTGCCAGGCGCACGTCGCGACCTGCCTACAATCAGTCCACTGCCCTGACTGCAGCCCAGACGCATAGTTTTGTAGAAACTCACGGATCTGTAGCCGGGAAGCACGGGCAAAAGCTTGTTTTGAGAATGGGTCCAACATTACCCAAGTCATAAACTGCGCAGTGCCTTGGCATGGCATGGAACGAAGCATTGAAACGAAGTGATGCTTCCATGTTCTCCCAACTTGCCAAGATGCCATTGTGTTTTACCAGCTTTGCTGCCTCGCGGAATCAGAAGTTACGTTACATTCTATTGGACATGACCGTTTCTGCCTTGTGGAGCTGGCCCGAGGTCCCTGAAATCTCAGCCTGAAAGCCAGAAAAATCCCTCCTTTGATCCTCCTGCTCACATACATAAGGCATACGGCTGGCCTTCACCCCCGTGCCTGGCCGAGCCAAACACAGAACGGGCCAAATCCAGGCCTTTTGAGCACAGAGCCATAACACAATGAAAGTGTTCATGGCTGCGGATCAGCCCCCAGTTTCTCGCCACACCCAGTGACATTGGCGACGCTGAGAGGGAATCGGACTGCACACCTACTGTTCTGGAACCTTAACATATATGTTTCCCGCACTATGCCTTGGTCAGATCACTGGTTCGGTCATGTCTCTGATACCTTGTTTGTCTGAGCCACAGCTGCAGGCAGACAAAGCAATCCACAGATGCCCGGGGCCAAGAAACGATATGCAGTTGCTGCCATGCACAACTGCTGGCGCTGGAAAGCGTGTTGGAACCTGAGGACCACACGGCAAAGTGGTCTTGGACCTCAGCAATGTCGCCGAAGGCTATGCACGCAGAACGACAAGTGCCCAAGAATAGCACGCAGATTGCAACAAGATGTTGTTGAACATCTCCATGGCGGTCTTCAAGGACTCCTGCGAGATGCAGGACACAATGTGCAGTGAAAATGTTTAATGCTAGTGTGGTGTGCTGGCCTGGTCTGCCTTCCTGCCTTCTCTGTTTGATCTCCCCGGGCCTCCACGGTAGCATCAAACACCAGCAGGAAGCCCATCCTGATCAAAATCCCAACAAGACTCCTGCAAAACTGGAGGGCCCAAGTGACCAAAGCCCTTACTGGGTCATCTGCCGACATCTTGTCAGCGGCTCATACCTTGGTCAGCCCCACGAGCCAGAGCTGCCCAACTGCCCTTGAGTTCTCGCCGCAGAAGAAACACTTCTTGGCTGGTGCAATGTTAGGTTGCCAACTTCAGCTCCGTGAGTGCCTGGATGCATGCGTCGGCGAATACAAAAGACACTCGATGCACAGCCAGAGCAAAAGCTTTCATTTGCTGCTTGCCGCAGAGCACCTGGTACTCGGCAAACGGACCATAGTACTGTGGCGTGACCTGAGCATCCGTCTAAGTGATTAGATGGAGACTCTGAATGATATCAGCGCAAATGTGTAATTGGATTGCGGCCACGGGCTCGGCTGGCGGTGGCTTCACCTGAGCATACGAAGGCTCCAAGAATCCACCAAACGCAGCTGATTTCAAGTTCCGCCACAACATTGGCCACTTGTGCATCTCAAAGATGATCGCTGCAGTACCGAGAAAAGAGTTTCTAGGTCCCACCTCGAGGAGCTCGTTGATGTCTTGCTTCTGTCCATATCTGAGAACACACAACCAGGGAGCTCAGAAGCGTGCAGTGACTGCGCAATGTCTCCAGTAGGGGAACGACATGTCAACGCCACCCGTTCTAATGGGGGCGTATGTGTCTTCCAACCTGTCATACAGCACGAACTGTAGATGCAATCCGCGCTTACAATTCATCTGCAAATTGGCAAGCGTGGCTCAACGAGAGCAGTGACCATCTCCTCCTCATCCAAGGGATTTGGTATCTTCATCGTCCTCCGGAGAAATGCATAATGCCGTGGCTTGGCTGCACTGGCTGTAGCGATTAATCTCCTGTAATAGAGCGTCGGGTCCAGAGTTGGAATGTAGTTCTCAGCGGGCATAACACGGCATTCCAGAATCATCTTGACCACTCGAATGCTGACCCAAGCAGAAATTGCTTAGACAAAACAAGGCATTGGCCATCGACACTGAGTTGTTTAGCCACGCATTGATCAAACCTGGGAAAAAGGCGTCAGGGTGCGTCCCAGCATCTCTAGAATCCTTCTGAAAAAGGATATGAATCAAGAAGGAACTTGATTTCAGCAAGCAATAGTCAAGGAGAGCTTGCTGGCCAAGAGTGCAAAGCGAATCTGACTGATAACTGGCACTGGCCCCTGGAATGACAGCGAAACAGCACGACCGCAAACTCCCATTATTGCTCATCGGGCTCGCACCCAGTTCTCAAGCATCCCGGCACCATCTGACAACGGTTGACATTTAAAGTGCACCTGCATGGCTCGATATTCCCTCTGCAGTATCAATAAGGAATTATCAAGCCCTTGTGGCTATGCACACTCATGAACTAAGACTTTACCAAGGCATTACGTACCAGCCTTGATAAAGTTCTTCTTGGGGTCATGTTGCGAAGAACTCAGGAATTAACAAAATGCAATGCCGCTGTTGACAGCTTTTCGCAAAAATAGAGAATCCGGTTGCATCAACTGACAATAACAAGAGAATGACAACCTAGGCTACAAATGCACAATTATGACCATGCTTTGCTGGGAGTGGGAAAGGAGCTGACTGGTTTTCCCGCTGTCGGCATCGCCAATCCTGAAATGTTGCAAAACACAAGTACAACTGTCGGTTGGCATCTTCGGGGGTTTGCAAAGCAAACATGCTCATGTCACTCGTGTCGAACACCTTCGAAAATTCGAAACATGTGTGTACTGGGTGCATACTCACCACTACACACACAATCACATGTTGCTAGGGCGATGGCACGGTGATCCGAAGGAATGGTATGACATTGTCTGGAACTGAGCAATCAGTGGCATGCTGCGTTGTCCAAAAAAGTGTGGTTCTGAGGCAATTGCGCGGAGGCTTCTTCGACATTGCAATCAGGACTGGTGCCAAGGATTATGCAAACATGTGACATGACGTCTTTGGTTGTTGGCGCCTCCAGGTTGGGTAGTTCTGTGTTTCACATGCGGCCTTGTAAGTAAAGCAAACAGCACATGAAAGCATCTTGGCACTAGGTAACATTTCC